GTTTATTTATTTGTTTTATTTTTTTCACACAAATAAATTTTTATTTAGGTTAACCCATAAATATTATTAAATTTATTTCTTATTAATTTACTTTTCTTTCCTCCATCTTTGTTTTCTTTCCATTTTTCCTAGAAAGCCGCCAACAACAACAACAACAAACGTTTTTATTTACTTATAAATACTACCGCCGCCATTTTTTTAAATTTTTTTTAAAAATCTTTACCTTCTCCCCTCCCTCCCCCGTCCCCGACGGTAAATTTTAAGTTTTTACATCGAATTCATCGTTTAAACCAATTAATAATAATAATAATAATAATCATGATGATGATGATGATGATAATTATTTTATACATTTTAACGTTTTTTTTTTCTGTTCGATTTGAATTTTCTCATGGATTTTAACTCTCACGCGTCTTTAAAAAAAATTCCAGAATTTTTTCCCTTTTTCTTTTTTTTTCTTTTTTTCATTTTCTTGATTTCAACGGCTGGAATTCGATACGCGTTTAGAATTTTTTTCTTTTTTTTTTTTTTCAAGAACGAAAAGAAAAGAAAAGAAAAGAAAAAGTCGAAGAATTTTTTCATCGTAATTTGTTTTTTTTTTGTAAATCTTTTAAACCTGTTTTGATTTTTCACGTTTGTTTTGTTCTGTTTGTTTGTTTTACTCTCGTAATGATGTTTTTTTTTTTTCTTATTCTTTTTAATAAAAGTATACTAAGCTCACTATAAGAAATTTGACGTAAACTTTTCTTTTTTTTTTTTTTTGTAAATAAATTCAAAACAGGAAAAGAAAAAAAAGAAAATCAGTTAAGATGAAAAGTTTTGTACTCCGGGGGACGAAAGAGAGAATAAAAGATGAGAAAAATGAAGATTTTCAGGGGAAAAGGAAAAAAAAACTTTTTTCCTTCTTCTTCTTCTACTCTTTTCCTATTCCTAACAATAATAATAAAAGTAATCGTAATAACAATAAAATTCGTATAAGGATATAAGAGAAAAACAAACTCGTTTGTTTTTGGTTTTAACTTTTTTTTTTTTAGTTTTAAATTTTTTTCGCATAAAAAATAAATGTAAATAATGTTTTTAAAAGTTTTATGTATTTTCCTATTAAAATAAATTCTTATTGGGGTTTTAGTTGAGAGTAAAAAAAAAAAAAAAATTACGACTGTAAAATAATAATTGATTGCATGGAATTCAAATTCAGGTATTTCAACTTCTCCAGACTCCAGACTACCGACGGCCCTACGTTTCATTCCACGATTAAGAATTTTTTTCCATTTACGTTTCTTTAAACGGTTTGTTTAAAAAAAAAAAAAAAAAAAAAAAAAAACGGATAAAGAGATTTATTTTATCATTATAATAAATTCCAGAAATTTGGAATTGAAAAAAAAAAAAAAATGAAATATTTGGAAAAAAATTTTTCGTTACGCTGAGAGAAGAAAATCGATCGATCGATCAATTGATGGATTGTGAAATAAAGTAAACGAAATAAAGAATGTATATATAAATCCAATATGGAATTAGTTTCATAAACTGGAATGAAGAATACGATTGGTAAAAAAAAATTCGACTCATTTTTCCAGGTGACCTAAACATGTTATTTTTTTTTTTTTTAAATTTTCAATTCTTCGTCAATTAAAAAGGAAAAAATAAAAAGTTTACGTGTGTGCGTGTGTGTGTGCGTGCGCGTAAACATGAACGAATGCAAAAATTCAAAAAAAAAAACTTCCGTAAAAGATGGAAGAAAAGGAAAACTGGAAAACGTGGAAAAGGAAAATGTAAACATTTTTTAATTGTTTTTTTTTTTTATTCACGATGTGGATAACTCGGGATCGAAATAGGAAAAATCATCCCAAACCCGGAGAAAATCATAATTTTGGGGAGGGGGAAAAACGAATAAATAAAAACTAATACTAAAATCGTATCCTTAATTCCATGACGCGACAGCACAGAGTAAAATCCAAAAAAAAAATTCAAGAGAAAACTTAAAATTATCGGATGAATACCAGCAAAAGGACGTTTATAAAATTTGCTACAATTAATAAATACTACAAATAAATAATAATAATAATAATAAAATTTGTAAAAACAACAACAAATAATGCGAAAGTAAAAGAAGAAAAAGTTTTTTTCTTCACCTTTTTTTTTTCATTACTCGACATAAATTTTTAAAAAAAAAAAAAAAAAAAACCACATTAAAATTTTTCACAGTGACGATGATGGCATCAATAATGATAATGATAATAATAATAATAATAATAATAATAATAATAATAATAATAATGGGTATAATAGCGAAAGGAAATAAAAAAAAAACGTAAAACACTACTAAATTCCGATTTAACGTCGAAAAAAAATAAAATATGGCTAACGTCGGTTTAAGAAACCCTCGAGCAACAATGGAAAAAAAAAGAAAGAAAAAACGTATAAACGATGATATTTTTCGGTAAAAAAAAAAGAGAAGGAAGAAAAGAAAAAAAGAAAGAAAGAAAGAAAAACGAAAGGAGAAAAAAGAAACACGTTCTATGACAAAATAAAAAAAAAAAAGGGAAAAGAAGAATAAGAAGAAAAGGTTTCGAAGTGAGAAAAAAAAAAACAACCTGAAAAAAATAAAGGAAGAAAAACAAGAAAAAAAACCTTTTTTTTCTTGTTTTTTTTTCCATTCTTCTCCCGCTCCGCCCCACCCCCCCCAAAAAAAATTTTACACCGCCAATAAATTTTATCATGGAAGTGTTTAACGTAAAAGTATATAATAATATTTCACCGCGAGTGGTATATTTCACTGATAATTTTCCAAAAAAAAAAAAAAAAAAAAAAGGGGAAAAAAAAGGAAAAAAAGGAAAAGGGAAAAAGAGGTTTTATTGAAAAAAGAAAAAAAAAAAAATTTTATTTGATCCTACACGGTTCCGCCGCCATTGTAATCCGTCAAATCTATGATCACGTGTTTTTTTTTTTTTTTTTTTTATTCGAATTTAATTTTACGGTTGAAATGAATTTTCTTTAAAAAAAAAAAAATATGGGAGAGAAGAAGAGGGAGGAAAAATTTTGCGGGGATCTAAAAAAAAAAAAAAAAAAAAAAAATTGAAAATAAACCCCCGCACACCCAAACACAAACCCCCCCCCGGGGATATTTGGGATCTTTTTCTTTCTTCTCCTCCCTCTTTCCCCGCCCTTCCTTCCGTTGCCTCGTTAACGAAACCTTTTCGCATTTTATTTTATTTTTATTATCATCATCATCATCATCATTTCATGACTTCCTTTTCATCGCGTTTCCGTTTCCACCGTAATTCCATCATTTTATATAAATTAAATAAAATAACCAAAAACTCTGTTGAAAAAGGAATAAAAACGTACGAATTTAAAACGTTCGCGTTAAGAAAATTTAAACCGTCAAAAAAAAAAGAAAAAAAAAAAAAAGATTTTTAGAGCCTTATAATTAGTTTTCTCCCTTTAAAATCCGTTTAAGATTAATTAAAATAAAATTTTAAGACGGTTAATAAATTTTCCGAGTAAGAAATTACAAAAAAAAAAAAAAGAAGAAGAAGAAGGTGTAAAATAAAACCGAAAATTTTTTTTTTTTTTTTTTTTTTTACTTCGCCGCAATCGTGAAATAAAAACCTTTGACGTAAACTTTAAAAAAAAACAAACGAAAATTTCCCGCCTTTTTTTTTTTCAAACTTGAAATGCTCCCTCCCCCATCTCTCTCTCTCTTTCTCCTCCCATTCCCCTTTGTTTATCAAATATTTGGGACGTCGGCCAAAATTAAAAACAAAACAAAAAATTTTTTCTTCTGCTATTTCCAACTGGCGACAATTTCCCCCGTCGATCCACGAGTATATTCATCAATAAAGAAAACATTTTTAAAACCGTTTGAATTTCCCGCCAATTTTTCAATTAATTTTTTTTTTCTCTCCCGCACCTCCAGAACGTGTAAGGAGACGATTTGAATTTGTCGAACGGTTTATATCGCATTCGAACGTTTTTTTCCAGTTAAAGATTTAAAAAAATTCGACCGTTAAAAACCGTTAAAAAATATTTTTAAGAATGTTAAATGGATTATACACAACACACGTGTTGAATGTTTGCAAAATTTATAAAAATTCTTTTTTTTTTTTTGTCGAAGGTGAAAAACTACAGAAGGTTGAAATGTTGAAAAAAGGTTTTCAGGGAAAAAGGTAGAGGGAAAGAAAAATAAAAAACAGGTTAAAGATTTAATGATTCGGTAAAATATTCAAGATTTAAAAAAAAAAAGAAGAAATTATGGCGTTTAAAAAATAAAAAATAAAAAATAAAAACAAAAACCGACAAACCAGAAAAAAAGGAAAAAAATGGAAAAAAGGAAAAAAATGGAAAAAAGGAAAAAACAAATCTTGAGTTTTCTTTTTTTTTTTGCGGCAGCCAAACGGAAAATCAGTTTATTTATTTAAAATAAGAGAAAAAAGAAAAAATTTATGAAAAGTTTTTTTTTTTTTTTTTCATTTTTTTGTTTTTACGAGCGTTTTATTTGTAATTTTAGAAAATTTTTAAACGAATGAAAAAAATGAATGAAAACGTTTATAAAATTATTTAAAAAAAAAAAAAAAATTAGTAAACCGAAAATGAAACAATCAAGAGGTTTTTAGAAAACAAAAAAAAAAAAAAAAAAACGGAAATGAATGAATCTCGAAAAGGAAAAAGAAAAGCAAAGGAAAAAAGAAAGGGATTAAAAAAAAAAAAAAAGAAATCTTGAAGGGGTTTGACTTAACACAAAAAAAATCCCTCGACGGTTTAGGTTTTTCATTCTGTTTCGTTTCTTTCTTTCCCCCCTCCCCTCATTTCTCTTGTTTACATTTTCTAAATACACGTTAAAAATTCAAATAAAACGTAAAATAAATATTTAAAAGAAATTTGAATTTTGTGAAAATTTTGTACCCAACCCATCCACCCACCAATACTAATTTAAAAAATTTTTCATTTTCGCGCCTTTTTTTACAGTTTGCACGAGATTTTCAAATGGAGTCGCATCCATGCTCGGAGCCGTTTCTTCAAATGCATTCGACACTCTGTATTCGTATTCTAATACTTTTCACGTTCCATTCGTGACTCCTTGGTTTCCGGAAAAGGTGCTTAATGCCACGACGGAAGATTACGCCATTACTCTATGGCCGGATTATCACAAAGCCATAATCGACATGGTCGTACGTTACGAATGGGATAAAGTTATTTACATATACGATTCGCACGACGGTAAGTGTGTTCAAAATTTAAATTCGAATCCGAGACGTAACCGATCGTCGTGGAAGTAAAAAAAAAAAAAAAAAAAAAAACTTTTTTTACCGTATAATAAAAAAAATGACGCAAAAAGTAACAAAACAAAAGAAAACCTTTTCTTTTTTTTCTCCAATTCTGATTTTCCGCAAAAGTTAGGAGAGGAAGAGAGAGAAAAGAAAAAAAAGCAAAAATAAAAAAAAAGAATATTTGAGAGTGAAAATGGTGTGAAAAAGGGGGCGGGAAAGGTAAGAAGAGAGAAAGTGAGAGAGATGAGAATCGTCGGGTGTGAAAGGAGATTAGGTTACTTTAACATTCAAAAGCAGACGAAATTCGATTTGGTTTTTTTTTTATTTTTTTACTTACTTTATTCCGCCCTCGATTTCAATTCAAATAAAAAATTTACTTTGGAAAAATGAAGATGAAAGAAAAAAAAAAAAGAACGAAAAGAGAAACGAATAAAACGGAGAGGAGGAGGGAAGAGGCGGAGGAAGGGGGAAAACAGGGAGGAAACGGAAGTAAACAGGAGGAAAGAAAAGAAAAGCTCAGGTGAAAAATTGTAAAGTTAAAATAAAAAAAAAGGATAAAAAAAAGAAAATTCTCGACTGGAAAATTTTTTTTTTTTCAAAAAAAAAAAAAATTTGAAATATTTGCAAAAATTTTTTCCGGGAAATTTTTTTTTTTTTGTTGTTTTTGTTTTCCGCCATTTTTTTTTTCTTATTCAATTCTTTCGTATTCGACTTTTCATCACTTCACGTTTCTTTCTCTTCCCGCCAAAATAATTTTTTTTCATTCTTTCTTTTCAAACAATGTGACGAAAAAAAAATTTTTCATTTTTCACCTTTTTCTTCTTCTTTTCATTTTTTTTTTTTTCGTATCTTGTAAAAAAAAAACCCACGAATATAAACTTTTGAAGAAAAAAAAATTGCAAATTAATAAGGAAGGAAAAAGAAGGCGGGGAAACGCCAAGGGGGAGGGAAAGGGGAGGAAGAAGGGGGAAAGGCGAAAGAAAATTTATAAACGACTCTAAAAGTTTCGACAAGACGTGGAATTAATTCAAACAAACGATTTGATTTTTTTTATCGATAAAAAAAAAGAAACTAATTAAAAAATCATTGTTTAAAATTTAAAAAAAAAAAAAATTTACATTTGAAAATTAATATAAATCAAAATGGCGACGTGTTTTTCTTTAAATATATTCCAAAAGTTTTACATTAAATATTCTCGATTTTTCTCCTTTTTCTTTTTATGTATAACCGCAATCATCATCGAATTTTTTTCATTAAAAAAAACTTTTACCAAATTTGTAATAAATTACAAAAAGAATTTTTTTTTTTTTTTTATAGTCACGACTCTCTCTATCTAAAGTCACGTCTTTTTTTTTTTTAACCTGATTAATTTCTAAACATTTTTTTTTCCTTCTTTTTTCGTTTCATTTACATACGCATTTTTTTTTTTGGGGGGGGGGGAGAAATAATCTGACGTTATGTAAAAAATAAAACGATAATAATAATAATAATAATTTAAATTACAAAAAAAAAAGAAGAAAGCGTTCAACGCGAAGATTCAAAACCAAAACAAAATCTTTTAAAAAGGTGTAAATAACTGAAAGGTACAACAAACCCGTTGTTGATCTATCCTGAAAAATAAATCATGCGTTTCCAGAATCGAAAATTCATTCTTAAAAATTTTGCGAGTCTTTTACGAAGAAATTAAAGAAGAGATCATTGGGTATGTGAAAACATCAAAATGGCGACAAATTTTACAAGGAAAGGTCGGGACCTCCTCGTCCTGCCCTGTTTATTATTCGTTTCCGGAAAAAAATCCCCCGAAATGAATTTTTTAATAAAAACCCCGTCAAACTAACATCTAAAACGGTCACGTTTAACGGAATAATAATAATAAAAATATGCGTCTGACAGACTTAAACCTGGTTTAAATAAATGGGGGGAGGGAACGGGCGTGGAGGGGAGGAAAGGGAAGAAAAAAATGTTTTTTTTTTTTTTTAAATTAATTTTTCATTTTTTTTTTCGTAACCTTTTTTTTTCTCGCAAAACTCGCAAAAAAAAGTTTTAATTAATTAAAAACTTTGCATCGAACCACCTTTTGCATTTAATAATAATAATAATAATAATAATAATAATTTTAAAATTGTCAACGCGAATAATAATTTTTTTTTGGGGGGGAGAGGAGGAATGGGGAAAACGGAAGAGATGGAAAAAGGAAAAAAGACAACGTGTCAGTAACAGTGCAATGGCTACTTCACTAATTATAACCCTAAATATCCCTTTCCCTTCCCTCCCAACCCCCCCGTAAAAGTGAAAAATTATTTTTTTGCGATTGAGAAAATGTCGGGCAAACGTGGAAGAAGACAAAAGAAAAAAGTTAAATTTTTCTTTTTTTTAAAAAGAAACAATGAACTTATTATAACGGTCAAATTTTTTTTTTTCAAATTTACCGTAAGCGGTGCATTTCGCGCCAAAAATTCTGTTTTTAAAAATTAAAAGTGGTTTTAGAATAAAACCGTTAAATTAACACGTACCCGCATTTCGTTATTTGCACACACACACATATAAAAATTTTATTTTTGCGAGAGTCGAAACGATTTTCAAATCATGTAAAGGGGGATGTTAGGTAAGAAGGGAGGGAAAAAGAAATAATAAAAAAGATTTTAGAGTATAATATCGCGCAAGAGAATAATTAAAAAGAATTAAAGAAAGAAAAAGGTCGGAAGAAGAGAGGAGAGAAGAAGGGTAAGAAACGAAAGGTAAAGAAAAGAAAAGAAAGAGGAAAAAAAAACCGGAAGAAAAGTTAATTTAATTTTTTTTTTTCTTCTCCATCGTCTAAAAATTTTGTTACAAGACAAATTTCCTTTTTAATTCAAATTTCAAACAATTCCCTTCTCCCCCCTCCCATTTTTTTGTGGAGGGGAGAGAAGAGGAGAATGAAAAAGAGGCAGAGAGAGAGAGAGAGGTACGAAAAGGAAGAAGGAATTTCCTGTAAAGTAAAGTAAAATTAATTTTTATTCTCGCTGTTAAAACAAAAAAAAAAAAAAAAAAACGCGAGAGCCCGATGGTGAGAAAAAGTGGAAGAAGAAAAAAAAAAGAAATCATGGTTGATTTATACAACAATAAAAAAAAAAAAAGGCGACAAGTCAGATATTAAAGGGATTTTCTTTAGATCCCCCGGGGGTAGAACGGGAGGGCATGGGAGGAGAGGAGAGGAGAGCCGCTTTCTCATTTGACTTTCGATTCTCGGTGGTCCACATCCAAGAGGTCATACCACCCCCACCCCCCACCATCGCCACCACCCCCACCACCGGTTTCCATTACCATGACAACATTTTTCTTTTTCTTCATCTAAAACTATAATATCCTTCTTTTCTTTTACTTTTTTTTTTATTATTCGTTTTCATTTATTATTTCCTCTTTGAAACTACATTAAAAACGCCGCCATTTTTTTTTTTGTTTCACTAAATTTCATCCAACACTAAAAAAAAAAAAAAACGTACTCGCGTTCTAAAAACCCCCCCTCCCGCCCTTCTTTTCGCTCGTGTCGCATTTCCGTTTTAATATCAAATTAAATTAAGCGGGAAATTTTTTTTTTCTTCGGCATGCATTTTCGCTTTTAATAGGGGGGAGGGGGAATGGGCCCCGGGAAATAAAAAAAAAAAAAAAGGTGTCGCAAAAAGTTTAAATAAAAACGAGAAAAGTAATTTAGATAACACACAAAAAAAAAAAGTTAAAATTACAATTTTAAAAACTTTTCGCGCCATTTTTTTTTTTTTTTTTTTTAAAATTTTCCTTATGTTTACATTTAATACTTTTATAGTCACGCATCGCAACCTTTTTTTTTTTATTTATTTGTACTTTAAATTTATCCATTTCCGGTCGTTTTCGAAACACAAATTTTATTAAAAAAAAAAAATTTTGTAAACGTTATCTTTTCTTTCTTTTTTCCTTCATACGACGACATACTCCAATCTTTAATTAATCGAAAAATTTTGTTTTGTTTTCTTTCCGTCCATTTCCGGTTTCATCCGGACGATACACATCCGCTCTTAATTATACACAAAAACACGTAAACACAAAAACAAAAAAAAAATCAAACTAACTATTTAAAAAAATTTCAAATAATAATAATATCATTATTAACGTCATTTCCATAAAATTTTTAACGTTTCTTTTTTTTTTTGTTTAACCCTCCCCTCCTCCAACAACTTCCGCCATTTTTTTTTTCGGTTCGAAGCGTTGATTACCCGACGTTATGACCCCCATAAATTTCAAAACCAAAAAACCTTTTGTTTTTTTTTCGGAAAATTTATTATTCCTTAATCTTTATACTACCTTCTCACCATTTTGTTTTTTTACTTCCGCTTTTTTAAAGTCACCTTATACGAACTTTAATAATAATATTAATAATAATAATAATAATAATAATAATAATAATAATAATAATGATGATGATGATGATGATGATGATGATGAAATAACTTTATAAACAATCGAAAAGTAAAACAAAAAAAAATTACATCCGGTCATCGTTTTCGTAATCGTAATCGTCGTGTCGTTAAAAATTGCGTTTCAAAACTTTTGTAATTTGTTTTTTATTGTTTCAAAACATTTTTTCATACCGCACATTCATTTCCGTTTTTTCTCTTTTTTTTTTTTTTGTTTTTTGTTACGGCCGCATTAAATAAAAATTTTTTTTTTTCCAAAAAAGGTTTGATCAGATTACAACAAATCGACGAAACGTTAATAGGACGACAAAATTTTCACGTGGAAGCAGTCAAAAGAATAATTAACGAAACGGATGCCATAGAATTCCTATTGAGAATAGAGAAAATGAACACTTGGGGAAATAAATACATCATTTTGGATTGTCCGGCGGAACTCGCTAAAAAAATTATTATATCTCACGTCAGAAACGAGAGACTCGGAAGAAGAACTTATCATTACCTTCTAAGCGGTTTGGCAAGTAGTGTTTTTTTACAATAACGAAATTTTTTGTTTTCCCGATTATCGTTGTTTTTCGTTTCCAAAATAAAAAACCAATTTTTTATTTTTTTTTGACAAAAAAAATAAAAAAAAATTTAATTCCAGAAACTATTTTTTTTCTTTTTTTACCTTCACGAAAATCTAATAAACGTGTGGAGAGCAAAAACGAATCGAAGCAAAAAAAAAAAAAAAATTATCACAGCCAAGAATATTATTCTCGAAAGACCGCAAAAAAAAAAAAAAAAAGTTTAAAGGAAAGTTTTTTTTTCTCTCTCTCTCTCGTTTTTCGGTTCCAGTTTTTCTCTCTTTGCGTAACGAGTCCAGTTCCAGTTTTCCCCCCCTTCTCTCTCCCTCCCTCCCCCTTCCCCCTTTTTTTTCCTCTCTCGACCGTTTCTATCTCTTTTTTTCCCTCCTCTTCCTTACCATCTTTTCCACTCTTTCTTTTTCTTTTTACATTTTTTTCTTTATCTGGCATTTAGTGGTCCCCTGATGACAGTAATGCCCACTTTAAGAATCACCGAATTGGAACGGAAAAAAAAAGAGAGAGAGAAAATTTTTTTCTCTTTCTCTCTCTCTTCGTCGAATCATACTTGAAAAAATTTAATTTTTTTAAATAAAAATAAATCTTTCTTTTCCTTTTTTTTCCATTTTTTTTTTTTTTTAGAAAAAAAAAACTTGGAAACAAAACTTTCAAATAAATTCCTTTAACTTTTTAAATTTTTTTTTTTTTTTTTTTAACGTTAAAAAAAATATTACAACTACTACGACCGACGATAATAATAATGATAATAATAATAATAATAATAAAAACAATAATTTTAAATTAAAAACTTTTTTTTATATTTTTTTTGTAAAAAGCATAAATGAAAAACACAAAAAAAAATTTTTTAAAAAACTGAAAATCTTGCGAAATGTAAAATGAAAATTACTCTTTAAGACCATCGTGGTTTAGGTGTGATAATAACAATAATAACAAAACAAAAACAAACAAACAAAACAACAAGGAAACGATTAAACAGAACTGGACAAACAAACAAACAAACGAAAATTTTCATCTGCCTCTTTTTTACTTTTCTTACCACGCTAAAGTGATTAAATCAACTGATTTGTTGCATGACGTCATAGTATAAATTTAACAAACAACAACAACAAACTAATTGTTTTTCGATTGACAATTATTTTGTTTTATTTTTCCATTTCAGATAATGGATGATGAATGGGAGACCAGCATACCCTACGGAAGTGTTAACATAACGGGTTTTAAAATAGTCGACAGAAATAGAAAATTCGTTAAAGATTTTTTAGAAATGAGAAGGAGACGTTTTTCGAGTTTAGGAGGAAGTCGGTTATCTACCTATTATCTTCCTGTCGTTTGTTCACCCCCCCTCTCTCTCTCCTTAAAATAAAAATTTTTTAAATTTTATTTTTCAGATCAAAATTCAATATCGGCTCAATTTGCACTCATGTACGATGCCGTTTTCGTCATTGTCGAAGCATTTAATAAATTATTTAAAAAAAAACCGGAAGTCGGAGAATCTCTTAAACGGGGCCCACTTTTCAATAACGGATCACGTTTGGATTGTTATGCTAATTATAGCAATAACACGTGGGTGACACCTTGGGAACACGGTGATAAAATATCAAAACATTTAAGAAAGGTAAAAGAAGAAAAAAAGTTTTATTTTCGTTTTCTCTCCCCCGTCTCTCTCTCTCTCTCTCTCTCACTCCCCTTCCGGAAAAGTTTTGATTCGATGACGTTTTAATTTTTCCAGGTCGAAATGGAAGGTTTAACCGGCGATGTTAAATTTAACGAACACGGAAGACGAAGAAATTTTACTTTGCAGGTTGTTAAAATGTCGTTAAACAGCGTTTTGCAAAGGGTCGGAAATTGGTCGGACGTTTACGGTTTGAGTCTGGAATTCGAACCGAAAACTATTAAACCCATCGAACAAGAAATCGATAGAAATAAAACGTACATCGTCACATCCATCATTGTGAGTTTTCGTTTATTAAATTATTATTATTATTATCATCATCGCCATCATCGCCATCATCATAAAACGAAAATTTTAAATCATCAGAATCGAATCCAGTCAGAAACTGGAGAATTTCAAGAGAATTTTTTAAGAAAAAAAAAAAAAAAAGTTTTTTCCCCCCTTTTATTTTCTTTTACATGTTAATAATAATAATAATAATAATAATGAATAAAATTCCAGGAAGAACCTTACATAATGGCAAAACCCAACGACACCGGAGTGAAATACGAAGGAAACGATCGTTACGAAGGTTACTGTAAGGATTTGGCGGATTTAGTTGCTAAAAAATTAAACATTAAATGTAATTATCATGTTTAAAAAAAAAAAAAAATTTCTCCCCTCCCTCTCCCCCTCCCCATCACCCCCTAAGATATTTTTTATTTGTTAAATTAATTACAAAAAAAAATTTTTTTCCAGACGAGTTAAGATTGGTCAAAGACAAAGTTTACGGTTCTAAAAATCAACATGGAGAATGGGACGGAATGGTTGGAGAATTGATACGAAAGGTATATGTACGAATATAAAAGAAATTTTAATTCACTACGAGGAACGAATGAGAAAAGAAGGAGGGGGGAGGGGAACGGAAAGGGGAAAAGGAGTTGGGAGGAAGTAAAAGAAAATGTGAAAAAGAACACAAACGAAGAAAAACAAACGAGTTCATCTCATTGAGATACAAATAAAAGATTTGAGATGGTTTTTTTTTTTGGTAAAAAGTAATCAAATGTTTAACACGAATGAATGAATGAATGAATGAATGAAAGAGGAATTATTTACAACAACAAAAAAAAAAGCATCAAAAGGATTCCGACGAAAAAAAAAGGAAACATTTCGTTTTCAAAGGTTGTTTCTCAAACACAAAACAACCAAATTTGCTTTTCCCACATTAAATTTTTACCTTATTTATGTGACGTCATACGAGAGTTCCGCCATTTTTTTTTTTTTTTTTTTTTTGGAAAAACTCAAAAGCAGATAGAGTTTTTTGACGGTGCGAGAATAATAATAAAAAAAAAATGGCGTTTGGTAGAAAATAAAAAAATAAAAACACTTTTTTTTTTTAAATTGATTAATTACAGGAAGCGGATATGGCAATCGCTTCGATGACGATCACGTCAGAAAGGCAAAAAGCCATCGATTTTAGCAAACCTTTCATGTCTCTCGGAATAAGCATAATGATAAAAAAACCGGTTAAACAAAAACCCGGAGTTTTCAGCTTTTTAAATCCGCTTTCAAAAGAAATTTGGGTTTCCGTTATTTTTTCTTATTTAGCCGTTTCCGTTGTTCTTTTCATCGTGTCAAGGTAACCTAATTTTTCTTTTTTCATTTTTTTTTTTTTCCCGTCGCGTGTGATAATTTTCTTTCTTTCTTTCTTTCTTATAAAAAAAATTAAATTTTCTTTCAAGATTTTCTCCCTACGAATGGAAATTACTTCATTGCGAAGAAGAAAGTCAAAGAAGTTATCCCGTCGGTGGCGGGGGAGGTCACAGTCTTTCGACGACTGTCGCAAACGATTTCAGTATACTCAACAGCCTGTGGTTCGCATTGGGTGCATTCATGCAACAAGGCTGTGACATAACTCCAAGGTGAGGAGGGGATGATGTTAAAAAAAAAAAAAAATTCAAACTCGTGTATAATAAAATTTAATTAAATATTTCAGATCCATTTCCGGTAGGATAGTCGGTTGCGTTTGGTGGTTTTTCACACTTATACTAATATCATCGTACACGGCTAATTTAGCTGCCTTTTTAACCGTCGAAAGAATGGTGACTCCCATCAATTCTCCGGAAGATTTAGCATCTCAAACGGAAGTCGAATATGGAACTCTAACGAACGGTTCGACGTGGGAATTTTTTAGCGTAATTTTTCCGCCTTTTTTTGAAATTTCACTTTTGAATTTTTGTTATTGCAAATTATTATAAATTTTCCACTGTTTTTTTAAATTTAGAAATCTCAAATAACTTTGTTTAACAAAATGTGGGAATTTATGAATTCGAGAAAACACGTTTTTGTTAAATCCTACGACGAAGGAATAAGAAGAGTGAGAGATTCAAAAGGAAAATACGCTCTCTTGATAGAAAGTCCGAAAAACGATTATACAAACGAGCGACAACCTTGTGACACGATGAAAGTCGGAAGGAATTTAGATGCGAAAGGTTTCGGTATTGCCACTGCCTTACATTCGCCACTCATGTGAGCATTTAGGAAAAAACGTTCACCATAAACGTTCGTTCCATAGAAAAACCTGAAAAACGTTTCCTTTTTTTTTTTTTACAGGAAAGAAATAAATTTAGCCGTTCTCGAACTCATTGAAAATGGAGAATTGACCAAGTTGAAAAATCGTTGGTGGTCTTACAGAACGGAATGCAAACAAAGCGACAAACAAGATGCTCTAGGAAATGAACTTTCCCTCAGTCACGTGGCCGGAATATTTTACATTCTCATTGGTGGATTGATACTGGCAATGGCGGTCGCGCTTTTAGAATTTTGCTATAAATCACACATGGAAGCCATGAGAGCCAAAGTATGACTACTGTATGTGAGAATAAAAATAAAAATCCGCGTGAAATGATGTTCTTTAACTAATTAACCTCTTTTTTTTTTCTTCTTCCACGTTCACCAATTTTACAATAAGATACCTTTAACGGATGCCATGAAAGCTAAAGCAAGACTTACAATCGGTGGCGGAAGAGATTTCGACAACGGCAGAGTAAGTATTCCAAAAACAAAACAAAAAAAAAAGAAAATTACTCGCGTGACGCCATCGTACAACGTTGCCATTTTGTTTAGTTATTTTTTTAACTTTTTCAGTATTATGCTCCGGCAGAAGTCGATCAAGATCAAGTGCATTCAAACACTCACACGCAAGTTTGATAAAAAAAAAAAAAAAATGATGATGGCGACCAATGTAATTTTTTTTTTTTTAAAGTGTCAAGAAAATAATTATTATAAATTATGTTTTGACCTTTCCCTTTCCTCTATTATATCACGCTGTATGATAATTCCATGACGTGTAATAATTGTGATTATTATTATTATTATTATTATTATCATTTTGATACACTTGATTCGATTTGAAAAAATAAAAACAAAGAAAATTTTTTTTTTTTTTTGTTACGAATAAAATAAGGAGAGAATCAATCACGTTTCCGTTGCGATGTATATTATTCGTTTTATACAATAGAAAATACATATTAAGAATAGTAGAATAAATTTTTTTTTAGATTTTCCTTACGTCGGTACTGATATCTCGTTAACACGTTTAATGTCGAATAAGTAAAATGCCACGTGAAAAAATAAAGTTATCAGAATATTGCTTACAAATTTTTTTCCGTTGGATTTTTTACACGACTCGTCGTCGTCGTTGTCGTCGTCGTAAATCATCCCGAACGTGTATTTAGAAAAGCAAAAAAAAAAACGTTAAATACCCGTTCGATATTTGCTTTAAAAACGCCATTTTGTTTTATATATATAAATATCTACAACAAAAAATTATTAAAATTTTTATCGACAAAACAGTCAATCGATCAAATCGATTTTTAATCGTCGTCGTTATATATTCGATTTATTAGTGGAAAAAAAACGATAATGACGTCACTCTCGTTACGTAAAAATTAAATTAATGCAAAATTTATTTTCTATAAAGACCCAAGTTATTATTTGATATTATTTAAATTATTATTATCATTATTATTACCATTTGTTTTTTTTTTTTTTTTTTTTGTGAACAAACAAACGACGTTTTATTCATTCCTTACTCTCTCTCTCTTTCCTATGGAAAAATTTTGGAGAAGAAAATTTAAGAAAAAAAAAAAAAAAAAAAAAGAAAAAAACTCCTAAAACATTCTGGAAATTTTCTAAAAATTCGTTTTCACATGTCGAACGCATCGAACCGTCAATAAATCAATAATAATAATAATAATAAAAACCTTGGAACAAATTTCACACGCTGGAAAAAAAAAAATTTGATTGGGTCGGTTTTTTTTTTCTTTAAAATTCCGTCATTTTTCCCTCCCTCCCTACTTTCTGCCCATTCACTCTCTTGTTTTCCTTCTTCTTTTCCTTCATCATCTTTTTTTTTTTTTTTTTTTTTTTTTTTTTTTAAAAAAAGTTGATGGCATTAAATTTTTCTTTTCCAGTAATGAAAAAAAAAAGAAACAATAATAATAATAATAATAACAACAACAACAACAAAAACAATTTTTGTAACGAAATAAACTTTTGTCTTGTTTTTTTTTTTTTTTTTTTTGTTTTCTTTTCTCTTTGTTAGCTGGCGCGTTTCTGCCGAACGTGGATTGGTCGAACGGTTAACAAAATAAAAATAAAATTTTTTGCCATCTTATCATTTTTTTTTTTTAACACCCCGAACGCCTCCCCCAAATAATTACACAACGTAAAATAAATACATTTAATTTTTTCCAGGTTTCAAATTTTGTCGACATTTTTTCTTCTTCCCCGATATTTTCAATTTTTTTTTTTTTTTTATTTATTTCCAATCTTGTCCATCGCGTTTTCTTTTGCCACTTTTTTTTTCTTACATAAATAATCTCGAAAGGATGTTTGGTGGGGGAGGGGAAAAGGAGAGAAGAGAATCGTGAAAATAATTTTTACGGGGAAAATTTTCAAAAAGGTTAAATTATTAACAAATGCCACGTTTTATCGGTCCACCGGTCAATTTATTATTAATAAAGTTTAAAGATGTTAATAAATTATTCGGATTAATTCGGTTTAGCCTCTCTCTCTCCCTCTCTCTCCGCTCCCCCTTCCCTTTCCTACCTCCCTTTCTCCTGATTTTATGACGTAAATATTTACTTAAGGGGCGAATAAGAAAACCGCTGGAACGAATTATGGCGGCAGGTTCAACAACAACAAAAATTATTCGAACGTATTTTTTCATCTTCATTTCCATCTTTTTCTTTCTTTTTTTTTTGCTGCTAATTTTTTCATTCATTTCAACTCGTTCGAAAGCAATAAAATGATAATGATGATGATGATGACGATGATGACGATGACGATTTTTTATTTCGATTCTAAGTCAGCGATAAAAACTCAAACGAACGTTTTAAAAAAAATGCATATCTTTCACCAATAATAATAATAATAATAATAATATTTAAATTTTTACGATTAAAAAAAATAAACGTTGGTAACAATTGTGGAAAAACTATTTAAAAAAAAAAAAAATTTTTTTATTGGCAAACCTTTTTTTCGTCATAATCGGTGGAAATCAATTTTCTCGATTTGTTTAAAAAAAAAAAAATTGCACCGTCGTAAGTTATTTCGTAGATGAAAGGTGGAAGGGGAGGGAAGGGAAAGAAAATTAGAGTGAAGGGAAATTTTTTTTTTTTAACGGATCCCCTTTTGAAAAAAAATTATGTTGGTACTCGTAATTTTAAAATGGCGACGAAATGCCGAAATGCGCGATCGAATCGAGAAATAAATGAAGAGAAGGAAAAAAAAATTTTTTAAAGCACTTAATAAAAAAAAAGAGCGAGTAAATTTCAAATAGGTCGAAGGTCAAAGGTCATTTTGTAAAAAAAAATATTTTCTCATTTTGTTTTTACTCTCTGGAAAAACAAAAACGGGATTGTTTGTTTTGTTTTTAAATTTAATTGATATTTCATATTTAAAATTTTACCTTTTTTTCCATTTAAAGGAAAAGGAAAAAAAAATGAAAAACTACGATAATAATAATAATAAAAAAGGAAAATTATAAGTTCCAGTCCCTCCACCACCTCCTCCTTCTCCTCCTCCACTTCCTCTTTTCCCTTTTTTCGGTATCATTTTCTTTTCATAACAAAATAAAATTTTTTTTTTTTTTGTCAAAAAAATTTAAAACTCAAAATGGGGAGTACGAAAAAAAAAAAATTTCTTTCCATTATATTTCCTGACCGGATCGTTTCTCAACCTTTCTAACTTTTTATTTTCTCTCTCTCTCTCTTTCTCTCCAACACAACGACAACGACAACTGGGGGAAGGGGGAAAGGCATTATTACATAAATTTTGCCAAAACTTATTTTCTCCCCCTTCTTACATTATTTATTACATTGTTTTAATTTTTCTTCGTCGGATGACGTCGACGACGACGTCATCTCCCTGGATAACAAATCTTAAAAAGCTTAATTTAAAAACTGGAGAATTTTTAGAAGAGTACCATAGTTCAACAAACGAACAAACAAGCGAACAAAAATAAATAAATAATAATAATAATAATTCTTTTCTTTTGTCCTCCGACTCAAAACTCAAAAACCTGGAGAAGAGAAAATAAAAAAAAAAATAAAAAAAAAAAAAAGAAAAATTGTTTTTGAAATATGTCAGCAAACTTATACACACACACACACACACGACCGTCCCCTCGTTTTCATTTTCAACTCTTCGCATTTTTCTCCTTCCACGTCCGGCTAGAAAAAAAAAAAAACATTCCATTCCATTTTCCCAACGGTGATTTCCCTAGAGGAGACCGTTTTGGACTTTTTTTCTTTTTTTAAAAAAAAATAAAAACACTAAAATCTTATCGAATGTTATAATATACTTCTTCACTTTTGTGGTGGTGGTCGTGGGGAGATGAAAGGGGCTATTTAAAATCTTAGTGACCCAAATAAAAAGTCAAAGAGAGAGAGAGAGAGAGAGAGATCGAGGAAGAAAATAAAAGGGAAAAAGCAACAACAACGAAAAAAACTCGCGTGTACGCATGTACGTATAAAAAATTTGTTTTGTTCACTTTTTTTTTTTTGTTTAATTGCAACGAGTAATAAAATATACACGAAATCTGATTATGCATTACCCTATTTTGTGTTAAACACGTTCAAAGTTGAGGTCACGACAAAATAAAAAAAAAAACACGCGAACGCGAAACGTAACGAACGCATATTACATATATAATCTTAAAAAACGGGAAACTAATTTTTTTTCCTTTTTTCCCCTTTTTTTCCTTTTTTTTTTTTTAAATCGAGATCGAACAACCCTGAAATTTTTAAGTTAAAATATTTTTTTTTTATGTAAAATAAATAATTTAGAGGGTTGAAAAAAAATAAAAAAAATTATGGTAAGGGTAGAATAGAAAAAGGAAAAAAAGAAAGAAAAAAAAGAAAAAAAAAGTGTCAAAAAATTTATGAAAAACGAGCAAATTATTTATAATTTAAAAGGAAAAAAAAAAAGAAGAAAAAAAAATTTCCTTTTCTCTCTCTCTCTCTCTTTTCCTTTTTATTTTGGCCACATAACGGATAGATTTTTTTTTGCTCTTTTTTCCTTTGTGAAAAAAAAAGAAAAAGGAAAAAAAAAAGGAAAACCTTTGATGAATGCAAACACTTTTTTTTTTTCTTTTCCCAGACCGAGCTTTATTTTATTTTTTTTTTTTTCGAATCGCCGCCAACGTGTTTCTTCCCCCTCCCCTCCCTTTTTCCCGCCATCACCGCCACCTCTACCCTACCATCACTTCCTTATTCATTTTTCATATCTTCTGCCACGTCAGACGACGAACGAATCTTTTTTTTTCATTTTTCAAAACGTTATGATTATCTTCTTACCATTAAAGTCAATTTTATTCGTCATGATAAAAAAAAAAAAAAAAAAAAAAAAAAAAAAAAAAAAATCGTTACACGGAAAACTGACCCGAACGTGAGGGAGGGGGGAAGGGGAAGAGGAAGAGGAAAAAAATTCTCAAACTTTACATTTACGCAACGTTAAATTTTTTTTACAAAAGGAAAATAAATAATAATAAATAAATTTTTTCCGTTTGAATTTATCATTTTTCCCGCCATTTTTAAACCGACTACCATCACTCGCAACCAATTAAAATACCCCACCACACGTATAATACATATGATATGTTAAAACGTCACCATTTAACATCCGCCATTTTTTTTTCTTTTTTT